ATTTTTGCCTCATAATCTTAGAAACCAATAGTCGACGTAAAACCATGAAGACTTTGATTCTTGTAAGCTTATAAATTCAGATACAAATCCGGCATTATTAGAATTAGTATAATTATAATTAATCCATTGGGTTCTGATAAGTTTCCAAAATTAAATAGTATAGTCGACTCTGGATATAACGATCTCAACATTTTGAAATTTTACAATAGTTCGGCATAAAAGTGTAAAGGGTTTTTAGAAAACTTAGTAATTTTCTATACCGAATTTTTTTCCCTCCAGAATATTAAGTTCGTTATGACTATAGCTCAAAAGCGTTTGAGACGCGTCTATTATGCAACCCTTTTCACAAGTACATAAATAATATTAAATGCAATTACGAAACGCGTGTGACAAAAATCATTATAAAGATAAAAAAATGAAAATATACTGTGAGAGTAGTTACCATCCCACTAATTTGCAATGCGCCGCATTATGAATAAACTCTATCTTAAAACGACTTAAATTCCTAAACAACATACTCGATGAAATAATTTGGAATCAACTTAGGTGGATTCTAAATCCACAATAATTCCATTCTGACGTACAGCATATGTACGTATTATCAAAATAATTTAATTATAAAAAATTATAAGTTAAAATTTTTAAATTTATTTCAATTCTTGAATCCAGCAATTTAAAGTAATTATGCATTTTTTATATACGTAATCAGTTAATTATATGTAAAAATATAGTTTGTATATATGTTGTGCCTCAGACTAACGCTTGCCTCGCTTATCAATCTAACGAAAATAAGAGTAAAATAAAGACCTTTTACTTGAATTCTTTTTATTCTTGAGATTTCTTCGGCGTTTTTCTCGCTAGTAGCATTTTTTTAAATCACTTTGGCGTCTTTCTTAACTCCAGTAGCATTCTATATTTTTGAATCACTTTGGCGTCGTCTTACCTCCAATAGCATTCTTGAATCTCTGGTATTTTACCACCAACAGTAGCATTCTTTTACATTAAGTCTCTTTAGTACCTCCGTTAATTTCTTTGAATTTCTTTGTCCGAATTTTCACTGCACATTCTATTTCCAATTAATACGTACATTTTTCTCTCTATACATATAGTTTTTTTTTGCCTAAATTTTGCGGCATATTCTTCCGTCTATGTTTTTCAGCACGTTCAATTTCCAATAATTTCTTTACATATGGGGTCTTTGCCTTGAAAATCAAGTCATGGGACATAGTAAATCATATGTCCTATACTTGATTTTCAAGGCAAAGACTCCATATAATTTTTTTTTTTAGTGCTTATTGACCGATCGATAGGTTACTCACCTCACCTGACGATCTGCGTCAGCTGTGATCTGAGGCAAGCGTTAGTCTGAGGCACAACATATACACTTGACCCTCGCTAATATCAACTCATTTGGATCACTTTTATATTCATGTTGATAGTGATATTAGTGAGGGATCATAGTAAAGTGGATATATATGAAGGAATTTTGATGTATAAAAATTTGTTAACGTAGGTTGATATTAACGAGGGTCATGTGTAATTATAAATATAATTTATAATATAATTTATATTTAAGGGGTTATAACGAAGTAGGTATTGTGACGAATCGTGATATTCTGTGATCCAACGATATGAATTCAATTTCTCTTGTTAAGAATCGAAATAACCCAATTACAATAATTGGATCATGAGATATAATGATATCTATATCATCACCCAATACCCCCTTATTATTTCGTCTGAATCAATTATCTTATGTCATAAGAAAATAAAGGTATCTTATGATCTAGTAACTGAATTTAATATCATTCGATTCGTCTTATTGATGTGGTACCAAAATTACTTCATTCTGATTGATTGATAGCTTAAATTTTATATTTTATATTTTATATACAAACTATATATATATTTTTACAAGAAATATTAACAATTTAATTTGTTGTAATACAAAAAATTATACAAAAAGTGTTTTGTCTAAAATCAGATATACAAAATCTATAAAAGTCAAAATTCTACATATACTGTATATTTAAATATTTATAGAAAAAACTGTATACGTATATATTTTATAAAATTCAAATCGCAAAATCATTTAGTATTCTCTAATACAACAAACCCCTTTTCTATTTTTAAAAATTATTTTTAAAAAAAAGAGAATTTTGCCACCTTAGATAATGCATTTAAAAAAAAACTATGTAATTAATACGTAAATATACGTAATTAGTACGTAACGTATACAGTTAAATGCATGTTTCCTAAATGCACGTTCTATGAAGGATCTTCGTTTCTTTTTGGCTCAACTAATACACATAACATTTATAGGTTTTTATCTTCCTAAATGCAATATCTCTGAATGCACGATTGAAACTTTGTTCATATAGTCTTCTTTATAGTGTATTTAGAGAAGTTTGGCTGTACTTACTGGTCTATGTAAGAATATTAAGAATATATGAAAAAAAGGAAGTCTAAATATAGATTACGTATCAAAAACCAATCCGTATTATTCTATATTTATTTTTTCGCTTGGTGATTTATAATCATTAATCAATAAATCTTTATTTAATGATCATCACTACGTGTTACTTGCATCATTTTTGCAATTAGATCAATATTGAATACCACAATATTTTATGTTCTCTTTCTTATTGTTCGATGTTCAGCCAATTAGAATCACCCATCAAATAACGGTTTACATTTAGTGTTAATGTTATGATTGCAAAAACACGTGACTTAAAATTTAAATTTTTTGATAAAGGAAGGATATCTTCTTTTGTTGAGACTTCATCGCTGATAATTTTTCGTCAGAGTCATCATTGGATCACTGAGAGTTTTAGATAAACTTGTCAGTGATGAGGGAATTGGATTTATATAACTTAGGAGTGTCGTGAACAAAATAGGTCTCGGTGAGTCCTTATTATTTCACTTTACTAAATCATTATTGTTTTCTTGTAAACATTATATATTTGCATAGTCGATTAAGCCGAATTTTTAAAGAATCGGTTAATTTGGTTGGCTGACTTGACTAAGTCGACCAGTGCAATATCAAATCGAAACACTACAAAAATATAAATTTTATAAAAATATCAACGAGAAGTTCTTCTCGATCTTTTTAAAAGTGAATGGTGTAATACCCGCCATCACTATAGCGTAACGGTATGGTCATCGACGGCTACGTCTACGGGATCGCATTCTGTATCAGCTTCACTTTTAAGTAAGAAATAATGACCAATGTCTTTTTTATTTTGGAAACATTATGCCATTATGCTTATCTTTTTTTCTTTTTTCGGGAACATTATACAACGACGTTCTATATTTTTTTTTTTATTTACGATTTTTTTTTAAACAACATAAAATACGAGCGCGACCAACAGAGTTTTCGGATTATAGATATATCTGATTGTTTAAGATAATAACCGGCTAGGTCTACTTAACGTATCAAAATCATTGACTCGGCTAAATTTTTTAATCGACTACAATCATTAATATTATGAACTACTCACCAATTTTCAAAAACAATTGTTAAATGGTAAGAATGAGACAAAATAATAAGGAATCAACACAGGTTTTAACTATACCTCATAGCTTTAGCCTCCTCGTATTCAAGCCTACGCTTTCTATTAGTCAATAACACTTGCTTACGCTTTTGAATTAATTCCATTTGTCTTTGATCTGCATTATATATATATGCCCCGACCCCTCCGAAGAATGCTGCTGTAAATACATGTGTTATTGGGTCTACATAGAAAATAAATGAATTGGAGTAGATATATCCGAAGATAAACATGTGAGGATCTTTACCAGGAAATTCTGCTTGATCATATTATTCTTATTTCTATTAATATAGAAATGAAATTTGATCACATACTGTCAAAAACGGGCCTTCTTTCAAGGGCCAATGCGTAAGCTCTAACGGCAACTCCAAAAGCGGCAAAGCCAGCAACTGTTGTTACTAATGTCATGATAAATACTAAAAGATTTTCTAATATTAAATATTAATTGATGTACAAAGAAGAATTAATGAATGGAAACAGAAGCTTTAAGTTTCTAATCCATATTATATCTTATTTAATAAGATTCAAAATTGAATTCTTAAAAAAAAAAAAAAAAAATGTATTTAAGATTATATATCATCCAAAGATACCGTTTAGCACTACTTATAATATCTTCCATGATTAAAGCTCGGGCATTATTCTCCATATCAGCCTAATTTTTGAATAATACCGGGAATATTGCTATATTAGTTTATTACTTTTCATATAAATTGTATCCTGGTTCTATACAAAGACCCCGGAATACTAATCAATTTAAAATTGAATGTGAATAGACCCCGGTACTATCTCTTACACAGTTCCACTATCATAATGTAGCTTAACATGAACTGTGATATAGATATAGTTTGATAGCTCAATCATAGGTCAATCATGACAATCACAGAAAAAATTGCCTGCAAAATGGTGTAATGGATAAACGGTGCTAAACGATATCTAATATCAATTATCAAATTATGAGTTAATATATAACTTACCTATTCAAAGGACCGAGTGAGAAGAAATTGACGAAAAATCTGCATATTTTATTTTTTATGTATGATCGTCATCCGGATCACCCCGAGTTTCACGTGCCACTGATAGACTTTTAGATAACGATATAACGATAATAAAATTCTCAATTTTGTACGCGACGCGACTTTAAAAATGGATAAAATACCAATGTTGGATACTTTTACTGCTGAAGATATCAAATTTTTAGCTGAATATGAATTAATAACGATCGAACCATTTTTTAAGGCGAATACATTTTCCCTTTCAGGAGTAAATATGGATTTTTTTTTCATATACATTTATTACTTTTATCGGTTTAAATTTAATAATAATTTGTGTGGTTCGATTAAAAGATTGAGTATGGACCGTTTGATCCTCCAGTAAGGACCAATATACCTATTTGGGTAGCTTTAACATTAAAATCTCAAAGATTATGTAAAATCATCTCTCCTTCATGGCTCACCGTTGGTAGGCTTCTCTAGATTGATTGAATTTTAATTGTGTTTGTCAAATATCCTTCCAATTTCTTAATCATCAATAATATAAGCTAATTTATATTAATATTTACATTAATATTTACATTAAAATGCAGAAAACCTTACCATTCTGCTAAATTCAGAAACAAAGGAAACAAAATTTAGCGCGGTCCCGTTTTATTATGCTGAAATTTCAAGAATGTTATTGCAATCGTATGTAATAATTTATGCTACTATATCAATTTTTATACTGTATAATTAATCATTTAATTGTTTTTTTCACTCATTCGAAACTAAAGTGCCGAAGACGATTTAAAATCCCCCGGTGAACTTCGTATGTTATTACAACAACTTAAAGAGAAAAGAGAAAATAAAATTAGAATAGGTTTGGCTAATCTAGAACCTATTCCACACAAAGTAATTTATATGTCGTAATTTATATGTTATTGCTGCACTTTCTTATATATAAACTTATCCTGATTTTTTCTTAAACTGATTTTAATTTTTAAAAGATAAATAATATTAGCGCCCGCGAAATCCACATTATGCGTCCCACATTTTCCATGTTATTTGATTCTTTACATAGGATACAAGAAACTACTATTAAACGTCCATCCGGACAAAATCTTGGTGAAACAACTAGAAGGACTGCTGATAGAATTAGCAGTCAAGCTTTGGATTTGATGGATATTGAGGGTGAAATTGCTGATTATGGTGATTTGGGTGATTTTATGATCTATGATTAGATTTATATCATTGGGTTTTACGTTAGGTTAGGATGGTTAGTATTACGTGCTTAGCATGTCATTAGTGATATACATGTTTTTTTTTTTTTACTAACAATGATGCAAAGTAAAATTAGCTTTAATCAAAAAAAAAATTTTTTTATTAGTTAAATTTACTAATAATTATAATGAATGATTTTATTATAGTAACTAATAATTTTTATATTTTTGAATAAAATTAAAATAAGCCAACATAATTATTTTTGATAATTTACTATTATCAACCCATAAAATATTGGCCGTTATTATATACTACATAGGCAAGAATTACTGTATGTATATAATTTGTATGTGTAATATGTAAGGTTTGGTTTAATATAAAGTCAATTTAACGGTCACCTGGTAAATTCAGAAAATCAAAATATTTGAGAATGAAAAATCAAGCACTGAAAATAGCAAATTCGAATTAGAAACTTTAAGGAAATTTTTATAAAATTTTTATAAAGTTATATTTTAAAGCTTATTAAAATAAAAAAATATATTGTAATTTATGAGCTAAAGAACTACCGAAATTAAGCATCCCTTTTTTGCATTTAGTGCTGGCCAAAATTGTCATAATGCGGGCCAAAATTTGCATAGTGTAGGCCAGGGTGCTTAGTTTCGGAACGGTACGGTACTATAGTAATACTATATATACATATAGACAGTGTTGGCACTGAACATATGTCCAATAATTTTTGACCGTATAAAAATTTAGGGCTTTATATATATTTTTTAATGTTAATAGTGAGGCTAGGCTTTATATTTTTTTATATAATATAATTACAGTATTTGTTATATTTTTTATATAATATCTGATATAAAAAAAAAATATTTTGTAAATAAACTAGAAAGATTTGGATTATATAAAATATTATCTATTTTTTTCTTTGGCAAATTCTGCTTGCTTTATTTGAAGAAAAATTAAACTACTAAACTACTATATAGGTATATATCAAATTACAGTTTATAATATCTCAACCAAAAGACAAACTCATCTAGTTTTATCTTACAGTTGTTATAGCTTTTACCTGCAGTCAGAGCAAACTATTAAACTACTATGTTATACTTAGATACAACGTGTTTAGCAACACTTGGCCTCCTCTGGGAGTTCAAAATTTATTAAGAATTTTTATTTTTTAGACTCAATAGCTGGCTATTGCTCACCCTGTCAAAATTTCTGTTTTATAGTAAAATGTCACCACTTTCTTGTAAAGAAAAAAAATTAAAAAAAATTAAAAAAAGTGAATAATAAGAAAAAAGGTGTAAAAAAAACAAATACAAATATAAAAATGTATACTAATCTAAAAAGAATTTAAAAACTTATAATTAGGCAAAAACTTCTAACTATAGATTAATGAACTACTCAAATTGAATTGTTATAAAAAACTTGATATAAAAAAGAAATAAAATACACTATAACTCATAATAACTCCAAAGTATTTTACTTCTATTACTAGTATCTTAATAACCCGAGGTGGTGTCATGCCAAAACCACACCGGTATGGAGTGGGTTATACTTCAGGATTACTCTGGAGTATATTACTCCATTAATCCCCGATCACTATGTCAAGATCACAGGAGGATTAATTAATAATACCCTGACCGTATGTGAATAAGCGGAAACGAAGTTTCCGCTAATTCCCAACGGATCAGGATATTATTATTACTAACATCCCTAGACTTGGTTTCTTCCTCAGTTGAATCCTTTGAATTCGTTTCCAGTATAACAGTTTTTATATTATATGATGAATTAGATTGTTCTGATGAATTATTATCCGAAGATAAATCTTGTGATCGAAATTTCTTTTCCCGATTCCTTTCTCTCAATTCATTACTAATCTGTTCTTTATATGCCCGATCCAGATTTTGCTCCAATTTTGCAAATCGCTCTTCATTTTCTTTTGCTGACCGTTCTAGTTCCATGATTCTTGCATTGAGCTCAGCACCCTTAACTTTGCTTTCTCGGCATTTTCTTCTATAATCTGTTTTAGCTCAGACTCAATCGCATTTTTTTCTTTTACTATTTGTTCCAATTCTGCGATTCTAGTCATAAACCTAACATTTTCTAGCTTTAATGAATCAACCTTTAGATTCGCCTTTTTGGGTTTGCATGTTTAACAATAATTTATATAAGTTTAGAAATGGTTGAAAAAAGAATTTTATTGTACACGTTTGAAAAATATTTTTTAATAGTTAATGCTTTTTGTTCAAATAAAAATTGTGCACGCGTGCCAAATTGTCACGCCGATCACTTTTGGCAAGAGAAATATCAATAACAAAATACATACGCAAAAGCAAACTAGTTATGTATGCAAAATCAGCCACCAGAGTCAGCGAAAATCGTGAAATATATTTCATTTAGCATTTTATCTTTATTTAATAATACTACAACCAAATTTAATAAATTGAAATTTACACGCAAAAGTAATTGACCATTGAGTATTGGAGAAGCCAACACGGCTGATACAATAAATAGATCGTTATATATGAATTAGCAAAAAACTTTATTAAATGCCTAATTTTGAGGAAAAAAAGAAAAAGCACAAAAAAATATATGATACAGATATGAAAGTTACAAAAAAAGAAATAGAAATTATTCTATAGTTCAAACTAAATCGATCCTGTTCTTCTAAAAGACGAATTCGTTCTTCTAAAAGACGAACTCGTTCTTCAAAAGTACGAGCCTTTTGCCTTAATCGATAAGTAATTAAGTTCCAGATATCTTGACACATGCTTTTATAAGTCGTAAGAATAAGGTCATCAGATTTTCTTGCCGCTTTATGTGCTCCCGCTGAAAATCTTTTGTACAAAGCCCCAACATAAACTCCGATATCAAAACAACCTTCTCTAATGACCGTCTTAAACTCATCAATACATTTTCTGTCTAAATAAAAAAATAATTAAGCATTGATATTATAAAGTATAATATCCACTATTAATTAAATACCTATGTTTTGATTGAAGTAAGCCTTGCACTGTATAGCAATTCTAAAACCACACACTTCAATTATTATGTCTTTTCCGCCATCATCTGGTCCTCTAAATTGAAATTTTAATTGAGTACATATTTCATAGTCATATTTAGCTGAAGCCAGCATGTATCCTATTCATCATTAAATCCCCGAGGTTTTATGTCTCGGCCGGGATCCTTGAAAACTGAGAAGAACGTTCATGTAATTAAACATGGCCCGATGTGCTTTCGATTCTCAGATTATTTACACCAAGGTGACAGCGTTCCTTCAGATACATAATGACTCTATAGGACTCCATAAGAAAGACTTACCCAGTGTGTACAGTAGGAATCATAAGTATCCCACCCCACGTGATGTGGCGCAGCAAGCAGATAAGCGAAAAATTTTTTTTTTTATTTACAAATTTATAATGAGGCGTGATCCTCAATACACAGTATAATCACCACGATTTTCAATTAGCGCTTCTATACGCTCATTCATACCACGAACCAAATTCTTCGCCAGGTCTTTAGGTAATTGGTTCCATTCCTTCGTGATTAAACCTTTCAACGTCCTTATAGTTCGGATTTTTTTTTTTGCTAGCTTAATTTTCATAAGTCCCCAGATGTTTTCAATTGGATTCATGTCGGGTGACATGGAAGGCCACGGAAGTACCTCAATACCATTTTCCTCCTTCCAATTTTTTGCAATTTTCGAACGGTGCTTCGGGTCGTTGTCTTCTTGCAGCACCCAATCTACAGAACCCTTGTCAAAAATTTTATCAGTAGAAGGTAGAAGACCCTTCTCATACACAGTAAGCAAAAATTTCGCATTCAGGTTCTCTGGAAGATATACAGCTCACCAAACCCAGAGGCCGAAAAACAGCCCCACACATGGACCTTCGCAGGATGCTTCACCGTTCGGAAGACACTTCGTTTCTTAGGGAACTGCCACACTTTTTTTGGCCGGTGTTTCAGATGAAACGTACTTTCATCTGAAAATACCACATTACTCCAGTCATAGTTCCTATGACGTTTAGCCCACGCCAGCCTTTTTTTTATGTGCTTGTCGGTTAGCAGCGGCTTCGAAAGTTGAGTACCATATTTGGCACCTTGTTCACGAAGACGACGGCGAACTGTGGCCACACTGATTCCAACATTGTGCTTCTTCATATCTTCGCATATTTCCATAGCGGTCATATTGTCACTTTTTTTTGCAAGTTCAATTATTCTCTGATCTTGCTTTTTAGTCGTGATTCTCTTGCGGCCAGACTTTTGCTGATTGTTCAAGTCCTTGGTCACAGACCACCTATTAACCCAATATTGCGCCGTTTTTTTATCACAGCCGACCTCTTTTGCCGTTGCAGCAAGTCCAAGCTTCGGGCCCTTACGGTGGGTATGTAAAAATACTATTTCATATCGCTTGTGTATGGGCAGAGACATTGTTTTAACTGCCAAAAATTCGTTGATCATCTAATTTATGATATAGATTATCAACGAACCTAAAAAAAGTAAGTATGATCAGTTTTTATATCGTACTACATATTCGGAAAATTTTATAGAGTTACATCGGGTTTTCGGGAAATTAGCCGGGTGGGGATACTTATGATTCCTACTGTATAATTTTAATGCCTAATCTTTCGAAAAATTGTATCAGCAACCAAATGCAAAGCACTTCGAACCTTTCTCCCATTTTTCCTGATGACTCTCCTTCTTGGCGAATGAATTCTGGTATTTCTTCTTCTAGGTAAATAAGTTCCGGTATTTCTTGCATTTTCGTTTTTTTGGAAGAAAAATGTTTGCGTTAGTATACATCTTTATACCTTTAATATAAGGTCATCATCACTCCTTTTTCGCTGGG